GCCACACGGTGCCACGCTGCCTCCTACCACCACCATCACACAGTGCCACGCTGCCTCCAACCGTCACCACCCCACGGTGCCACGCTGCCTGCTGCCTCCAACCGTCACTGCCGCACAGTGCCACGCTGCCTCCAATGGTCACTGCCACACAGTGCCACACTGCCTCCTGCCACCACCGCCACACAGTGCCACGCTGCCTCCAACCGTCACTGCCACACAGTGCCACGCTGCCTCCAACCGTCACAGCCACACAGTGCCACGCTGCCTCCAATGGTCACTGCCACACGGTGCCACGCTGCCTCCTGCCACCACCACAATACAGTGCCATGCTGCCTCCAACCGTCACCGCCACACAGTGCCACGCTGCTTCCTGCCACCACCACCACACAGTGCCACGCTGCCTCCTGCCACCACCGAGCCAGGGCCTTCACAGCACCAGCGGCCAACCCTGCCCGCCCCCCTCTCTGCCATGCTTGCACCCCAGCCCCACCCCTGAGGCCTCCCCCTGCCCCTCTCCCTTGCTTGTGCCACCCATAAATGGAGGCCATGCCCCAGGCAAGGCACAGGGATATGCCCACTCACACCCATCCCGGGTAACTCCCCTGGGGTCAGAGTGGATCCAGGCCCCATGATGCCCCCAACCTCCCTCCACGCTCGGCTCAGACTCTCCCACAGGCCCCAGGCAAACAGGCAGCATTGTCAGGCCTGTTACAAGCTGCCCTGCCCAGCCCAGCCCAGCCGGGCGAGTGAGCGCTATGTGTGATGCACAGCATGCTGGGGAAGGCGGAGCAGCCCCTCAGAGCTGCCATCCGGGCATCTCAGCCCTGAGGCCTGGGCACACCCATGACACACTCTTTGGCTGCAGTTTCAGCCCCGCCCACCAGCACCCACCAGCTCCACCCCTTACCCATTGACAAGAGTGTGACGCTCGGCGTCCGGCTGGTGGACAGCAGCATGTCGGGCAGTGCGATCCCACTGCCGTTCTCCCCGCTGCCGTTGCCATCTGGAATGGAAGCAGACAGAACAGGGGCCATGAGCTGCAGCCGCGGCATGGGGCTCCTGGCAGCACCAGCTCCCCAGGGCCGGCTGGGGTCAGGGCCAGTCGCCCTGGGCAGTCACGCCAGCGAGGAAAGGACCAAGCCCCATGCAGGGTTCCAGGCCCATCTCCCTGGCACTGAATACCCACCTCTCTCGTGAGGGGCGGCCCGGGGACCCACGGGCCACAGCCAGGCTGCTGCGGAGCTGGGCTGGTGAAAGTGGCATCTTCTTACTCAGCTCCCTGCCTGGAGGAGCAGGCCCCAGAGTGGGGATCCTGGGCAACAGTCGCGCTTGGAGCTGGTAACTCCCAGGGACAGCGCTGTGCAAACAGGGCAGGTGCCCGTCTCGTTCTCTCCCGGAACATTCCCTCCAGCTCGCAGGCCAGGGCCCAGGACTGCCCGTTACTGCACTGGGCATGGTGCCGGTTCACAGGTGCCCGCTGGGGGGGCCTGCACGGGGGCATCCGGACCTGTCCTGGCTACGGACGGAGGGCATGTCCCTGCTGGCTCATGGAGCCCCGGGGCCACCCGGGCAGGGGCTGGGAGGACAAGAGTCCTGCAGGGCCCCAGAACCATTACACGGTACCTTCAGGACTTGGCAGTGGGGGGCGCTAGATGACGCTTTAACACATTTCTGCACATTCACGTCTGTACACGCTTGCACACACACTCGTGCACACACGCATGCCCGTGCATGTAAGCACAAATGCACATGCATGCCCACGTGACCCCTCGGTTTACTCTCCTGCTTACATCACTAGATCCTGAAATGCAAGCATGTGGGTTACACACAGACACACACACGCACTCAGCCCTGCTCTCCACTGCGAAATTCTCTCTGTATTACAGCGCTGGGGTAGCCGCAGTTACACTGAGCTAAGCGCCGGGGCAGGCAGTGCTGGGTTGTGGAGGTGGATTAACCAAGTCCAGAGGAGAAGCTCTCTCTGGTCGGCTTAGAGCGTCTTCATTAAAGGGCTCCTGTAGCGCAGCTGCACCTGCACCAACGCAGCGTTTTAAGCACAGACCCGCCCTCGCTCATGCACTGGCCACCCCCAGGGCTCTCTCTCAGGTCTGGATTTGGGGCTCTCTGCCCAAAGGGGCGTCAGGGTCTAGCTCTTTGGGGCAGGCGGGGTTAAGAAGCCTGCTCTGAAGGGGACAGTTTGCTCCCTCCCACCTGCTTTGATGCCTGCTCCCAGGATGGAGCCCAGCACTGCAGGCTGCCGAGGGCGGATGGCAGCAGTCAGGAAAGGCTGGGCTCCCCCTGTATCCGCTGACCCCTCTCCAAGGCGGGGCAGCCCAGCACTTCCCCCCAGCCCGTCAGGGCTGCAAAGCCCCTGCCTGGGTGGGAGCGTTCGCCCCATGTCCCCAGGGCGCTGGGGCACAGGGGATATGAGAGCAGCCGTGCATTTGGGGGCCACAGGAACCGGCCCTCTCCCTCTCTCAGCAGGAGCAGGGGCTGTCAGTGGGGCGGGAAGCACAGATCTCGGAGCCCAGGCTGGGGAGGGCACGCTGGAGCCTCGCAGCCCCTACCTCCTGAGGCCTCATCTGCCAGCATGTCTTCGTCATCGGAGAGATCGGCGTCACTCCACCAGGGTGTGCCCGCTGGGTCAGACTCTGTGTCCTCAGGGAAAGAGGCTTCGTTCAGCCCCTGGGCAGCGTGAGAGACCTGCCGGAGAGAAGCCCAGACAGCATCAGTCAGTGGCCAGCCCTTCCTCTTGGCAAATCAGAACCCAGGCAGGGTCAGCGCCCAGAGCACCCCTCGTGCATGAGACCCAAGGGGCAGGGCTTGAGGGTGCACCCGGCACACTGCCCCAGTGCTCCCTTGAGCAGGGGAAACTTCAGGGCTCGTCTGGCCGAGGGAGAGTCGCCCTCTCACTGCAACAATGCTCCAGGGGCCAAGCGGCGCTGGCAGGAACGCAGTCACTTCCCTGGCACTGGGGTGGCACTGTGCAGCTGGCTGGGTGCGAGCACACCCCAGGCCACTTGCCTTTGCTCCACCCGGCGTCGAGCGCAGGAGGTGACGCCGGATAGCGCCCCTGCCCCTCTGTCGGGCTGCTCTACGATTAACGACTGGGCTGCATTCTGCCCTGTGTCTGACCCACACTCCCTCTTTGGCCGCGTGCGGTAGGGGATTAGCAGCCTGCGATGGAGGGAGGGCACTCCCCGAGAAGCTCTAGGGACCAGGTGAAAGAGACAAGCACGCTTCTGAGCCATTCAAATGCAGGCAACCCCCTGGGACTGGCTCAGAGATCAGCAGGTTAAAAATTCCCGGTGGGAGCCACCAAGGTCCAGGCAGCAGCAGAGCCCAGTGAGTGATGGCTGCCTGAGGGGCAAAGGGGGCAGTAACCAGCCAGGTGCAATAGGACATGAGTAACGGAGCAGGGGAACGGATGCCCCACAGAAGCCAAACCAGACACCAAACTCGCTTTAAATCAACTGTACAAAGGAAAAATAGGTTGGACGATTATAATACCATGCATAGAAACCTGGTTCCAATTAGTCTCAAGAAGATAAGAATGGCGCTACTAGGTGAGATCAATGGTCCATCTAGCCCAGTCTCCTGCCCTCTAACAGTGGCCAATGTCAGGTGCCTCAAAGGGCAATTATCGAGTGCTCCATCTCCTGTCCACCACTCCCAGCTTCTGGCAAACAGAGATTTAAGGACACCCAGAGCAGGGGGTGGCATCTCTGCCCATCCTGCCTAATCACCATTGATGGGCCTATCCTCCATGAACTTATCTCATTCTTTTTTCAACCCAGATTTACTTTTGGCTTTCGCAACATCCCCCAGCAAGGAGTTCCACAGGTTGACTGTGCGTTGTGTGAAGAAATACTTCCTTCTATTTTAAACCTGCTGCCTATTAATTTCATTTGGTGACCCTTAGTTCTTGTGTTATGTGAAGGAGTAAACAACACTTCCTTATCTACTTTCTCCACACCAGTCATGATTTTATAGACCTCTCTCATATCCCGCCTTAGTCGTCTCTTTTCCAAGCTGCAAAGTCCCAGTCTTATTAATCTCTCCTCATCTGGAAGCTGTTCCATATCCATAATCATTTTTGTTGCCCTTTTCTGAACCTTTTCCAGTTCTAATATATCTTTTTTTGAGATGGGGTGACCAGAACTGCACGCAGTATTCTAGATGGATTTATAAAGAAGCAATAATTCCCATGGATTTATATAGAGGCAATATGATATTTTCTGTCTTATTATCTCTTTAAGATCTCTTTCTTGAGTGGTAACAGCTAATTTAGACCCCATCATTAAATATGTATAATTGGGATGATGTTTTCCAGTGTACATTACTTTGCATTTATCAATATTGAATTTTATCTGTCATTTTGTTGCCCAGTCACCCAGTTTTGTGAGATACCTTGTAAGTCTTCACAGTCAGCTTTTGACTTAACTTTCTTGAGTAGTTTTGTATCATTTGCAAATTTTTACACCTCTGTTTACCCTTTTTCCAGATCATTTATGAATATGTTGAACAGCACTGGGCCCAGTACAGACCCCTGGGGGACACCACTATTTACCTCTCTCCAATCTGAAAACTAACCATTTATTCCTACCCTTTGTTTCCTCTTTTTAATTCATTACTGATCCATGAGAGGACCTCCCCTCTTATCCCATGACAGCTTACTTTGCCTAAGAGCCTTCGGTGAGGGACCTTGTCAAAGGCTTTCTGAAAGGCCAAATACACTATATCCACTGGATCCCCCTTGTCATGTTTGTTGACCTGCCTCAAAGAAGTCTAGTAGATTGTTGAGGCATGATTTCCCTCTACAAAGACCATGTTGACTCTGTCCCAACAAACCATGTTCATCTATGTGTCTGATAATTCTGTTCTTTGCTATAGTTTCAGCCAGTTTGCCCAGTACTGAAGTCAGGCTTACTGGCCTGTAACTGCTGGGATCAACTCTGGAACCTTTTTAAAAAATCAGCATCACATTAGCTATCCTCCAGTCATTTGGTACAGAAACTGATTTAAATGATAGGTTACAAACTACAGTTACCAGTTATGCATCCGATGAAGTGGGCTGTAGCCCATGAAAGCTTATGCTCTAATAAATTTGTTAGTCTCTAAGGTGCCACAAGTACTCCTGTTCTTCAAACTACAGTTAGTAGTTCTGCAATTTCATATCTGAGTTCCTTCAGAACCCTTTGGGGAATCCCATCTGGGCCTGGGGACTCCTTACTATTTCATTTATGCATTTGTTCCAAAACCTCCTCTAAGGACCCCTCAATCTGGGGCAGCTCCTTGGATCTGGTTTTGTTCGGCTGTCTCTAATTCCTGCGGGGGGTGGGGGGAGAGGCTGTTAATTAGGAATATTAAAGCAAGAACACAAGGCAATGGGAAATCAGGCCCTGCCAAATGAATGGAGCCTGGAGTGTGGAGGTGACCGGCCAGAGGGAGTCCCCGAGGGCCCTCAGCCCCAGGACATGGGGGATGGTCAGAGGTCTCCCCCTGCTGTGGAGCCAGGTGCCAGCACCCCACACGGAGCAGGCTGGGGGCTGGGGCCAGGGCAATCAGCTGAGGACTGCTGCAATGACGGGGTGCCAGGGGAGGAATAGGCTCTGCCAGGCTCTGTGTTCTGACCAGCTCTGCGGGGGCCTGAGCAGGGGCGCAGGCAGCCCCAATTCAGTACCAGGCAAATTGGTTGCTACTATAGTAAAGAGCAGAATGATCAGCCCCCCGGAGGAACACAATATGTCCATGTCCAGAGTGCAGGCAGCAGCAAAGGAAAGGGAGACGCAGACCAGCAGGGGAAGTTCCTTGGGGTGTGTGTGGGGGGGCCTTTGACCCTCCCTCTGCTGGGGACTCTGACCGACAGCGTGAGCACAGCAGTGGCCAGCGCCCGCCCTGCAGGCCGAGTGCTGCCCTGGCCCACAAGTCTCCATCTCTAGGCTCCATGAGAAGCCAGTTATGCAGCCGAGGCTCATGTAGTCACCTCAGCCAGGGCAGCGCTGCCCGAGGAGAGTGCTGAGCTGGGGATGGGCGTGTGGGAAGCAGATCTGGGGCCTCGCGCGTTGCTGCTGCATCCCACTGACTGAGTTCCCAGCAGCTCAGCCCCAGCCAACACGCGGGCGCTGGCTCGTTACTGACGCTGCAGCCAGCTGGACCCGCCCACCTGGCAGCCGCCCGCGCGGGCCAGTGTTCACTGCAGGCTCCTGGCATGGGCTCACCGACATTGCTCAGCAGTAAAGTCATGCTGGCCTTTGCGGGAGGGGAAGGGGCAGTGAGCTCATCTCCAGCCACCCACCCGCATTCCTGGGATGCTCGGAGGATGTTCCCACAGCCCCCCAGGGCCACGTGCTCGCAGCTGACCTGTGCTGTGCCCATGAGCTCAGCCCGGAATGCCGGTGCGGAGGGGGGATCCCCAGACAGCTCCTCACCTGGGGCATCATTCCCCTCAGCAGGGCTCAGCACGCGCCTCCCCTCCCCGTGGTGTCGGAGCGTCCCCTGCCACCGGCTGCTCCTAGGGGGGCTGTTCTCAGCTCGGGCTCTGCTCCCCCCACATGGCCAGCCCCCCAGGAGTGACCTTGGGGAGCGGACACAGCCCCACGGGTGGCTATGCAACCGCACAGATGGCACAGGCTGAACGGAGCTCAGAAAGGGAGGCCACTGGGCGCTCGCTCCAGAGACGTGCTCACAGTGCGGGGCCCGGCTCACCCCGCCGGAGCTGCCTCCTCCGGGCACAGGGCCCTGCTCACCCCACTGAAACCGCCTCCCCCTGGGCACAGGGCCCAGCTCAGCCCACCGGAGCCACGTTCCCTTCCAACTGGCCCCACCTCATTGTGGGGGCTTCCACCGCTAGCTGCAGTCACCCCCAGCCCCGCTGCCGGCCCTGCCCGCAGGGGAGACACGTCTTTGGCACTGAGGTGCCTGTGCAGGCCGGAGAAGGCCTGAAAGCGTTTGTCCATGGGGTTGTCAGCCTGCCGGGTTTTTCCTTACAGATCTCAGGTGACAGGGAGCCAGGGCTGGGCGCTCTTGCCCCGAGTCTTCCCCGGACACGTCCTTCCTACTTCTGCTCATTCGGTGCCAACATGAAACTGGCGCTGCTGGCTCAGAAACCCCTCCTCTCCTCTCCCCCACCGCGTGGTGACTGCAGCTTCCAGTCCCCAGCTCCCAGATGTCCACAGAGACTCCTGGGGCAGACAAGACCTGGTCCAAAGCAGCCTCTTTTCTTGAACCTCCCGATGTCAGTGGGCCCCGCACCCCAATGCATCAGGACTGTCCTCTCTGGGCACCGCACTGGGGGCCTGGCCTGCTGCACCCTTCCCTCCTGCCACACTCCAGCTGAGCTCCACAGCACCCGCGGCCACCCAGGCTTCCCTGGCACTGCTCCCTGGAGTGGACGTGGCCGCTAGGTGCAGCATCCTGGCAAATGTCAGCTCGGGCCACCTACATTCTGGGTAACCCCATGTCAGTCTTCTTCACGCCCACTCCCCTATGGGCACACAGCGCTGTGCACTGTTCAACAGCCTCCACCCTGGAGGCAGCTGCATTTCCATGGCAGGGGGCACTGATCCCCGGCCCATGAACCTGGAGTGACTCAGATTTGCACCACGGAAAACATGAGCAGAGTTTGGCCCGTGCACTGTCCAGCCCTTTGAGATCCTTCAGGCAGGAAGGCGTGAGGGGACAGCCCCCAGCAGCAAACTCAGCACCAGTGGG